ATCTGTGACATACTAAATTTCACGCGGGTGAAACCGCGGGCAAAAGCTAGTGGTTAATATAGCTTCTGTACCATGTAAAAAAGAACTCCCTCATTATGGTAGCAGCTTAGGAGTCGCTGGATGCAGGCCGCTACCAACCGTGTAATATGGATCATTGGGGGAGGCCAATGTTCAGCAGTGGACATCCCGTGGCTGAAATGATAATAATGATGATGATGATATTTAGTTGGTCAGTTAATCGAAACTTAAACAACGAAGACTTAAACGAAGTTGCGTAAACATTACGAAGACATTCAATTAATTTAATAGCTTGTCCCTGATAGTACGAGTACCTAGGCCTAAGTAAAAAAATCTCATTTTCTCTGTTAAATTAGAGAGGGTCGTGCTGCAGTGGAGACAAAATCAACTGAAGATGATCGTCATAATCTTCTTCTTACCTCCATTCCTCTTTAAGGATAAGACGATTACATTTTAAATAGCATAATAGGTATCATGCATGAGGCATTAAACGGGTTTTTTTATTATAAGATTCCCATTTATCTGATCTAGACATAATCTTTCATACTCCATTTGCGCACCATTATGGTTTCAATTTCCCAATCACAGTTGATATAAGTGGGGGGAAACTATCAGACAGCTATCCTGTTCTATGTCCTCTGGTGTGAGAGAGACGTAGAATTTTCTAACGACAGTTTGACATCAGTATCACTCGTAAAGGCAATCCACGCGTCATTAGGCAGGGAACAAATCGAGCGAGGGCTCTTAGAGCGACGTCTGAAAGTTATGCTTGCGTAGCTCTCTTGAGACGATCGGTTAATGTGACTGAAAAAAAATATTTGTATTCTTCTTCCTCTATTTTCAGGTAGCTGAAAACTATAAGCTTCTGCTTTAGACACGGTTCATACTGCAGACACAATTAATTAGGCTGGGTTGCACCATTTTACTTTCGTTCGTTTCAGCCAAATGACGTCCCACAGCTGGACAAAGGCCTCCTCCAAGGTTTTCCACAATGCACGGTCCTGCGCTGCCCGTATCCAGGCTCTTCCCGCGACCTTTACCAGATCCGCGGTCAACAGGAAAACAAACAAGGACAACAAAATATGTCAAACTCCTTACAAATAACCCTCCAGTCGCAGTCGGGTAAAACACCGGTTATCTTTATAGTTACGGTTAAAGTTCAGTGGTGCAACTCAGCCTTAGATAATTTACAAGCAAACAATGTTCTTTAAGGGAAATAATAGGAATATTTTATAGGACTCCCACCTGAGAAAATCGAACCTCAAACTACTGAGCCGAGAGTTTCGGTCTAAGGTTAGGCATTATTTTTTTTTTTAAACTTATGCATTGTGCTGACGATAATGAAAGCTAACTTGTTTTTTGTTTTATGCAGAACAAGGCTGGTTTGACCATAATCGCACATGATGTTAAGTGAGATGCAGTCTACGACGGTACATTATTATGTCCTGTAAGTTCCTATTCACTCACTTTATGGCCCAGAACAGACGGTGAAACGCAACTGCAACGAAACTGCAACTTTCTGATGATTCTGATGAATGAAACTGAAACTGAAAGTTTCAAACTGGTCGCATCATGTGTGGTCCTTAGATTAATAAAACCTAGATAGATAGTCAGTGCATGAAAGGTGAGGCAGATTTTAGTGAGCCAGAATGGCTTACTCGTAAACGTCACATGAACTGTCAAAGTGAAAAATTGGTAAACACGTCCGACGACTTTTAATTAATTAAGACGGTTTGTACTGTGAAAGGGTGTCTAAATACATCAGAAAAACGAAAGAAAGTGACCAGTGTTACATTTCATAAGTAAGTATTACGATTCGACGCGTATTTTGCTTGAATTTGGCTTTCAAAAATTAAATACGGGAATGATACCAGTAACAAGAAAATTTATTTCCCAATTGTTCGCCGTACAAATACACTTCCTTTTTTATGAAATCGAGACTTTCAAGTCAATTTATCTTATTATAATTAGGTAGGTACTTTGAATTCAATAAAGAAGTAAGTACATGATGCGTTTTGTTTTTGTTAATTATAAAATAATCAAAAACGTATTAAAAATTACCCTACATTCGGGAAAATCGCGTTCACTGTCTACACTCCCCAACAAAATTGACACTAATGACATAAGATTTTTGCCTCACTCTTGACGAAGCGTTTGTATGAAGACTATCCATCTAGGTTTTATTAATCTAAGGTGTGGTCTCTCAACGGACGCTATGGCAGAAACTTAGATGCAACTCAAAAGTAACTAGCAGTTGCAGTTTCGTTGCAATTGCTTTTCACCGTCTATTCTGGGCCTAACTCAAGCCAATTTGTGTTCAATCGGTCTGCAACTCTCCCCACATGCAGATTTAGAAGCTATGTTTGTCCTAAGTTTCTGTACGACGAACGCCTTGTAAATCCAAGTGGCAATTCTGAACTTCGCCGAAGCTCATTTAGAGGCAAACGGCTTAAACGCAGCGAGCGAGACAGGTGACTAAATAATGGTTTAAGTGACAAGCAACATACTAAAAAACTCATAAAACTAATTTTATTTTTGGAAGTAGATACTGCGATAATTTGAACGAGATGTGAACAAATGTGAAGCCTGGTAGACGGACGATCTGGTGAAGGGCGGAAAGCGTCTAAATGCGAGCGCCTAAATTCGTAGGACCTTTGTTGTTGAAATCCGTGGAGGAGGCCTTTGTCAAGCCGTGGACGGAATTCGGTTGAAACGAACTCGTAAAGATTGCAGAAAGACGCTGGATGTAAGCAATAATTATCTGTCCAATCTTTCGATAAGGTCTCTGATTAGCAGTGGGCGTCCTGGGGCTGCAATAACTATGATATCTGTGGCGTCACGTTCGTAGGGAACGCGGACGAATGCTTGAGGCAAAACGTCAATAGTGATGTCAGGTTTTTAGTGGGTAGGCCCTGCCCTTCTGGAGGAGGGAGAATCCCACATAACCCACTAGCTACCCCCGCGGCTGGTGGGTATACAAATAAAAATCAGTGTATTAAAAAATCTTCGTCATCAAGATGGAGTTCTTACGAGTATGTTCTTTGTGTTACAATATTCATTAACCTGTCGTCTCCTGCACCTTGCACCAGCTGTCTCCGCTCAAGTCTGCAACTGCAAATAAACGTCACTACTCACTACTTATGAGATAGCAACGCGGCGTGTTTTGAATGCAACAAATCTATTTGATTCGAGACACCCTGCGTTTTGAGTTTTTTGGGAAGGTATTAAGTTCGTTCGTTTCAGCCGAAAGACGTCCACTGCTGAACAAATGGCTCCCCCAAGGTTTTCCAAAACGACCGGTCCTGCGCTTTCTGCATCATCAAGCATTTGGTAGTAGACAGCATTCAATCATTCCAAGATACGATTTCTTCCATCTAGGAAGGAATATCGAGTATATTTTCAATTTTCTATTTATTTCTAGAGTAAGCGAATTGTTGTCATAATAATCATCTTTGTTTACAAAATACCTAAGTAAATGGAATACGAGTCGCGTTTTGACTAGTGTGTGTTAACTACCCTAACAGTACAACATGATCACGAATTTTCGTGTTCAGGCTTGCTATTTTGCGTTGAAAAAATAGTTATTAAAGCTAGACGAAGCCAAACATTGAGGTTGACATTTTTGGAATGTAAATATGTGTAACCTACGTATATTTGTCATTTTGCAGTCCACATTACCCCTGACAGCAGAGAGTTCGTAGCCTCGTGGTCGTGGGTACGTGATTTCACATAGATAGTACCTACATATTTATAAAGCGATACAATTTTTTCGGATTTGAACTCGTGACGGGTGCAAAAAACCGCTTACTCGAGCATCGTTTAGGAAAGAAGTTTAGAACCTGTTCAGTAGTCTTTGTGTATATTATCCCTAATAGCTAAGAACTATTCCCGAGACTTCAACTCATTATACTATTTCCCGTTTTTGTAACATTTTTCTTACTGATCCGTCCCTATGGGCTGTAGCCTAAAGCCATCCTTAAAAAATGGGCTATCCAACACAAAAATATTTTTTTCAAATCGGATCAGTAGGTAGTAAGTTCAAGTAAACAAAAATAAATAAATCAGCTTTATAAATTATGTAGAATGGGACGTTAAAATATATTAATGACAGAATGAAAAGTCATTTACCAAACACTATTAAACCACAGACAGTTAAAGTTAATAAGTTTTATTTAATCGGACCTTTGTCCCAACTAGGAAAAATAGTGTGTAATTAAATAAATTCGATTACCTACAAATGATAATAGCATTCTTAAACTCGTGGTTTGAGATTCTGTCGGTACTTCACAATACTTAACACAATGGAAATTGAAAGAGTAAGTTCATTTTTCCATCATTTTTATCACTAAAGGTCTCAAATCTCAATTATATGTCAAAGATCTAAAAAAAAAATGAATAATGATGATTATGTCTAAAGAGATCTTAATCAGATCAATTTTATTAAATATTATTTATGACACAAAAATTTAAAACTAAGAGGCAAAAGGTGTAATTAATTAAATTAAATTAAAAAAGTGAATGATTGACGTTAAGAACCTCTCAAATGTTGTTCCGAAGTGGTGGTCGGGAAACTTATACTATTTGGGCGTGTACAAGTGCCTCGAAATTGCTTAAATTACTTAACCTACTACCGAAAATCTTGAATTAATATGAAATGATAATTGACCACATCAACAAACAATTTAGTTGTTTGTTCGTACAGTTTCGTACTTCGTACCAAATTTGTAGTCTTAGGCCCAGAACAAACGGTGAAACGCAACTGCAACTGCTAGTTACTTTTGAGTTGCATCTAAGTTTCTGCCATAGCGTCCGTTGAGAGACCACACATGACGCGACCAGTTTGAAACTTTCAATTTCAGTTTCATTCATCAGAATTATCACAAAGTTGCAGTTTCGTTGCAGTTGCGTTTCACCGTCTGTTCTGGGCCTTACTGAGTGTTAATCTACGATAGCCGTACAAAATAACCTGTTTGGAAGTAAGTGCCTGTGCCTCATCACAACAAATGAGTACATTGCCGTAAACGCAGCGCCGGCGGACCACGGTTTTGAGTGATTTTCTAAGAAATAAACAAAAATGAGACTGGTTGTAGTGTTAGCGGTGGTGTTATCAGGTAAATAATGAATAATTATACATAAAATACTTCGAAATTATACATGAAATATAATGACAAAGGATGTTAGACTGAAAAAGATGTTGATTTAATGGGTATTTTTTTTTGTTTGACGTGTGGAGTGGACAAAATTAAAGCGGCAGAATTTGTTTTACGATATTAAACATTTGTGATTGTTGAATGAAACGAATGATACGTACGTAGCATATAATCTACTGTATTAGAAAGTAAATTTTTATAAGCATGTTACCTACTTACCAAAAATAATTCGATAACAGTATAGGAAAATCGTATTCTAAAAATTTTTATTTTCCGGGAAGAAAATCTTTGTTTTTTTAGTCAGGACGCATTGCATGATCCAGACCTATGTTCCAGACCTATGGCTGAAATGATGATGACGATGATGATGATGATCATTATCTAATCATTTTTAAAGTTTTTGTTGGTTGTCTTGTCCTTTACATTTGTTGATTTCGAATTTTACCTGACGCCCGTAATTCAAGTACCTATAGGCACAGAATACATAATAGTAGCAACAGAAATTGCACTCCTTTGTGTAGGATCAGATGCCGACATTTTAACGGTAATAATAATAATGCAAAATATCCAACGCACATGGTGCATTCGAAATCGCACCTTACTACTACGCTCACAAGAGCGCATTTTTTTTGTGTTTAGAATTGATCTACGTCACCGCTCAAGCGTCAGGGTTGTATGAGCAAAGTGAAATAAATAAAAACTTAATTTTAAGAAGCATTTATTGTATTTACGATTAGAAAACTTTAATCTAGTGGAGTTTGTATATTCGTACCATCTCTAAAGTACCTATTAATAAACTTCAGTGTTGCGATAATTCGAAATTAAACGAACAGTTTTAAAAGGTGTAGTGTCGGAAAATAGACTCGGTGAAGTAAAGTTAATGTTTTTATTAGCTAAATTTTTTTTTATGCTATAGTTTTTTGTCATAAGTATTTCAAAATAATTTATTATTAAAAAAGTGTAGTTTTTTTATTATTTAAATCACTACAGTTAATTATTATTCCTAAATATTAAAATTTTTCATTAAAGAAGAATAACAGTGCTGTTGGAATAATAAACCTTGATTGCGACTATGATCGACCGAGCGTGTATAGATACGCGTGTGCAAACAGGCGCGTGGCGGCCCGGACTGATTTGCAACTTGAAGTTGTCGCGTGCTGTAGGTAATTATCTCGGCCGACATAGGCGAGTGACGGAGGCCTGCTATAGGTAAGTGGGTACCTTAAAAATATGTACCCAACTGTTTAGCACGTTAATGTCGATAGCATATCAGACTATACATTTTTGTTTCAAAATAACCTGTATTACAACGAGATAAGACGCCACCGTGGTAAGCTTGAGGTGCTTTTTCACAGAATAAATAATAGTACCAAGGTAATACTTAGTATCAAGCTATAAACCTCACAAACAATGGGATTTGTATGTTTTCCCAAATGAACTTTCTCGTTAAGTCACATTACCGCAACATTAAGGCACATTAAGGTCTGTGACCTGTGACCGATTGCAAATAAGGAAAAACCACAAGAAAAACGTACACTTGTAGGTATTATAGATATAGCCTAGTTGCGAGGTGCCCTTAATATCTGTTATCTACTGGGTTTTTAAGTAATTAATATACAAATTTTCCTCAATAAAGATTCTCTGATAGTACACACTACAACACCTACAAGGTGGACCGACGACATCGTAAAGGTAGCAGGGAAGCGCTGGATGCAGGCCGCTAACAATCGATCAACGTGGAAAGCATTAGGGGAGTTAAAAGTTCAGTACCTAGTAGTGGATGTCCTATGGCTGAAATGATGATGATGATGATGACACACTACACAGAATACTGAATACTTACCTATTATTATATTTCCAATACCAATGCAGGAAGACATTCTGCTACGGGGCATAATAATTAGTAGATATACTAACTTAACGACTTTAATGTAGTTTTAATACGTTAACTTAATATTCTTCAGAATTAAAAGATAATGAACTTAATTATTTACACCTATAGGTTACTATAGTAACAAAGTTCAGTAAGTCCATTATTGATACACACGATAAAATAAAAAATCATTTTTTTTTCAGTTTCAACTGCAGCGGATTTTGAATCAGAACATGGATCAAGGCAAAAGCGAGTAAGTTTTTTTTTCAATTTTAAGATTCTTTATTTAGTACTTTTAATGTAAATTATAACTTTAAGTGGGAGAAAAGGACACTATGCATGCAAAGCTACTGGAATGGTTGGTCAACTAATGAAATAAGATCTATATCCAAGTTTTTTAAGTTATATTATTTATATTTAAATTCCAGCAAGACGATAGATGGATATGGGGACCATTTAACGATGCACCAGTTGTAGTAAGTGGTAATAATTAACGGTAATTGTCATTAATATCACACGAGTGCACACTCACCTGTCCCTAATCAAGCCGAAGACCCAAGAGCTCAATCGTCTGACCCGAGATTTTCCTCGAAGCGCATCCATTTTGAGGGGCACCTAATTAAGCGCACCAAAGTATTCCTCGAAGCACACCTATGTTTACTAAAATAAAGAAGAAACTTTACGTCTACTAAGATGAATGAAAAGTACCAGGGTAACATACATACCTAAGGTGTATACCGAAGATATCCCGTACGTCAGTCTGTACGAGATCAAATGGCTCTCAAACAGCTTGAAAAACAATAAGGCTCGTGAATCTGGATGCAGATAGTGCAGAACTGGTCGTTATGCAAATCCTCGAGGGAGGCCTTTGTCCAGCAGTGGACTTCATTTGGCTGAAAGTAACAAACAATTATTTATTAATAATATTTTTCTCAGAGAGCTCAGTCAGAACAAATAACTGCTACAGAAGCACCTGCTCCTGCAAAATCAAATCCCTGTGACCCGTTTAATCCTGTCAAACCTGACTTTAGAGCTCCTGGACGAAGAAAATCTGACGTCAGTAAGTTCACTTTAAGATACAATGGACATCATGCCAAACTTTTATAAAATGTTCTTCACAATCTTTTATTACGTCGTGACGTCACATCGACACTGATTCCTGTTTTGTGCTCTGGTACGGACAGTGTACCTACCATGAGTTTACGTTAGGTGTGCTCGCTAGCGAAATCTCTATGAAGATTTTGTTTCTTAAAAGTAGCCGCTAGGGGCGCTCCACAATATGTCATACAAATAAATGTCATTTTTTACGCAGTCGCTAGCGAGCACACCTAACGTAAACTCATGGTAAGCACACAGATCAAACGCGTGGAGGTGTGCGGGTAAGTTCTGGAGGGAGAGTCGCATTCCAGCGATTAGGTGCGCAGTTAGCTTGATCTGGTTTTACACATTTTGCTACAAAATAGAACCTATTAACAGCTGCTTAAGGGATGCCTCAATTTTGATAATGTTACCTAAAATGTTTGGTACTAATTTTTTTCAGAATGTTTCGAATACATTTGGGAGATGAAACGTCGAAATGATCAACAAGAAAGTCACAAAAAATGTAAGTTAAATCTCTCACTGACCTACGTAATTATGAGCCGAGTTGCACCAGCTAACTTTAACAGTAACTATAACGATAACCGGTGCGTTTTGTATGGAGTTTGACAGATTTTTGACGTTTGTTAAAGTTAAAGTAACTTTTACGGTAACTATAATGATAAGTCAAAGTAAGATGGTGCATCCCAGCCTTATTCGTGTGCAACGCAGAAAATATGACTGAATGAAAAGATAATTACACTACAATGACACTGAAAACCAGCGCCGTGGCCTTCGTCACCGTGGGCCACGGCATATGCTGAGTGGGGTCCCGTTGCAGTGGGCATCTTGTTGGTGGATGGGTGGCACTGCTCAGTTTACTCTTGTTTTTATTTTTTCTTCTTCCATTATTATGTGCCACTGTCATGTCTATGTAATTGCCTGTATGTATTTGTGTGATGTCCATTGTAATAAATGTATCTTTCTTTCTTTCTTTCTTTCTAATTAGAAAATACATAATATGAATATCCCTTAACCCTGGTAGATTGAATAATGACTGAAGATTGATTTTTATTAGAAGATAAAACTGGGAAAACGGGCAAAATTGTCTATAAATCCATGGAACTAATCATTACCTACATAACAATTTATTCTTTCGTTAAAGCCAATATTTTTACTTTAATTTGAAATGTTTCAGGCCAAGAGTACCTCGTAGAGTCGGGGAAGCTTCCTTTCTTCAAACATCTCGTGATTGGAGGCAAAGAAACTTTGCCTGGAGAATATCCTCACATGGTAAGTTACCTTTACCATTCATTACCTACTCCTGTTTACTATGTTATCCTGAGCTTACTTCAATATCCTGAGCTGAGATATTGTGATTTTTAACAACAACTCATTTAGCCGATTGTGAGCGATCCTTATAATTTTTTGATATTTTTAATCATTCGATCAATTCCTGATAAGTACGTTTAGAGATGGTACCCGTAGTACGAGTGCCTACTGATTTGGGGTTTACCTACTTATTTCATTACTACAAGAGAAAACATTTGAATTGCGGATAAACAAATGACATTTGATTTTTTTAATAAATGGAAAAGAAGCGGATAAAAAATTTAACAACGTAAAATAAATGAAGGCTATAATTAAATATTTTTCGCTGTTATTTATTTGAGGTGGATAACTTATTTGATTCTTTTCTACTGTTAATATAAAGACTGCAATAATTTCAGGGTGCCATTGGCTGGAAGGCCAGCATTGGGACGTGGATCTTCAAATGTGGGGGGTCTCTCATCAGTGAGAAGTTTATTCTGACTGCAGGCCATTGCTCCAAAGCGTCTTCGAGGGACACCAGCATAGCCGACGTCGACCCCAAGATCGTGAGGCTTGGGGACAAGAACATTCTGGATATTGTGAGGATCATTTGACTTTGAAACTAAAACAGACGAGTCTTCCAGTAAATCTCCTTCTCCATTCTACTGATTAAGTTCGTTGAGAGTTCCAAAATAGTAAGCTAACCCTTGGACTACTCAACCTTCACTGGTTTAAACAACAGTTGCAGTAGAGGAACCGAGAAGTGGGATTAGTCCACTAGAAGAAATGGCACAGACATTTTTAATATTTATTAAATACGACTGCACGTAAGTGCAACTTTTGCGAATTTATGGCTTCTAAAATAATGTAAAATGTGAAAGTGTGCATTTCATCCTTAAAGTGACTTAGAACTTGAACTGCTTGATAAATTGATACTTGGTGACAATACATGATCCTATAAAACCCTAAACAGACAGTTTGTAATTTTTGAACTTAATTGTCTTTGTTTCAAAGGTTTAGAGAAGCTTTCTCTTTAAACATTCCAAAGTAATATTTACTAATTTTGTACAGAGCTACAACAACCTCGGACCAAGAGACTACAACATCTCCCGGGTGATAGTTCATCCTCTATACAAACCGCCGAAGAAGTACAACGACATAGCTCTGATCGAATTAGCAACTCCCGTGGACTTCGACAAGTTCACCCAGCCTGCTTGTCTATGGGGAAGACCAGATCTTCAAGGAATCAATTCTGCTTTTGTGACTGGATGGGGCGTTGTTGAAACAGGTTAGAATAAATTAAACAGGAACTATCCGCTGAGTTGCCCATGTCAACTGGCATATGACGCCGATCAAACGCCGTGTCATATGCCAGTTGACATGGGCAACTCAGTAGTACATATAGCGCATACATATAGCGCTAGGTGTAGGCTGCCACCAACCGACCAATGTGGAAATCATTGGGGGAGGCCTATGTTCAGCAGTGGACGTCCTATGGCTGAAATTATGATGACGATGACAAGGCAGCAAAAGTCTCTGTCTTCCAATTCGAGGGTCGGTAGTTTGATCCTCGTCAGCCATTAGACTATAGGCAAGCATGATGTCAATTTTTTATTTTGGTTTTAAAGATGGACCTCAATCAATAATAGAAATAATGGTGAAAGAATTGCTTCAGTAGCATAAATGGGCTTTCTCAAAAACTTTCTTCTCTATTAGGTATATTTATCTTTGTGAGGTAGGTATAATAATATTACGTGCACCAGTGTTATTTGAAATAGGTACCTACTTGCCTAATTATAACTAACCTTCCTCGTATGACTTCATTGTTGCACTAATTAGAGTACCACAGTTCCCTGATTACGGGATACTTACTCGTAATAGGAAAATTCAAATTATTCCTATAGCATTTAAAATCCGTGACTTGACTTTCGATTTAAAATGAGAATTTCCTGGTAAATGTATAGTCGTCATTCTCAAAATCAAAAACAAAATAATTAATTACTGTGGCTATTAGACTTGTACTGGTTATTTAGACTGCTGGGTCACTAGTGTCTGCCCCCCACTAGGTGAACCGATGATCTGGCGAAGATCGTGGGAAGCTTTTTGATGCGGGCTGCACAGGACCAGTCGTTGTGGAAATTCTTAGTGAAGGTTTTTGTCCAGTTGTTGACGTTATTTAGCTGAAAGGAACGATCGAACTGGCTATTTTAATCCTTGTTAATCCACGATAAAAATAAATTTACTTGCTATTTTAACCAACGTCTCACCATTTTCAGCTGGTAAAACTACATCTCCTGAACTGCAAGCAGCCTCAGTGGACTTGGTGGACTCCCAACAGTGCGACTCTCTGCTCCGGCCTTCCTGCAACAGACACTGGTGCGGTATCCAGAATCACCAGATATGCGCTGGGAAGCTGACTGGGGGAGTCGATGCCTGTCAGGTAAATGTAGAGCCAAGTTGTAAATCTTCGATAATGGGCAGGATACAAAGAATTGACGGCCAATGGTACGGCAAGTTCCTGGAGTGGAGAACACGTACCGACAAGCGCAGTGTTGAACGTCTACCCACAAGGTGGGGAGACGATCTCATAACAGAAACTGTGGACAGCATGTGGATGAAATGATGATGATGGGGATCCCCATTTAGATATTAAGGGCGTTTATTTTCTTGAATTTGCAATATTCTCGAGAAACTGTTCCCATTTGCCTCTTCATTAGAATCTTCTTCGGACTTCAACAAATACACTCGACAGCAAATAAATCGCACCACCCGCGACAAGCACTTTCAAACGTATGCATCCCCACTTCACACCAATATTAGTACCATTCAAAAGCCTAGTTCTAAACTTCATTTCATTATAGGAAAGGTTTTTACCCCAAAAATGTTTCTTTAGAAGGATCCAGAGTCACTTCTTCAAAAAATAGATAGTTAGGCTTGAGCCAACTTTTATGGCTATAAAACTGTCAAGTTGGGATTAATCGCTATCTATCTGTTAAAGAGGACACGTGTGATCATTATTTGGTTTTATAACCATAAAATTTGGTCTAATTGATCCCAGAGGTGAGCCCAAAGTGAGGTCTTTTTTCAAGTCACATTTATGGTATATGTTAATCATTTATTAAGAAATTAAATGTGTTTTTCTTTAAGGATATTTATTGGGCTTTCAAATAACACCAATATTGTTGGGGCACCATTATTGTGTCAAAAGAAAATCTTTAAAGTTCGCGTCGCGGGTGGTGCGATTTATTTGCTGTCGAGTGTATTTTGGAAGAGATTGACCAAGTTGTTTTTGTACTACAATAAGCAGATCCTTTCTTATCTTTATTTTTTTACAGGGAGATTCCGGCGGTCCTCTTCAGTTGAAAGTCTCTCTTCCCATCAATGATCAAGGCTCCATGAACCAAGTGATAGGCGTGACGTCATTCGGGATAGGCTGTGGTCTTCCCAACTTGCCCGGAATCTACACGAAGGTCTCCAGCTTTATCGACTGGATTGAGAACATCGTGTGGCCGTAACGAATTGACATTTGAAGTAGTTTTTATTGTTATGTTGTATAGTTGGAAATAATGGAAATTAGTTAACGATGTGATGAAAATAGCAATTTTAATTCAACCATTGGAGTATTTCATAGCTTGGCTCCAATCAGTAAAAGTTGTGGATTGTTGTGTTATGTTAGAAAAACAGGTCAATTCCGAGCTGGACTCATATGAATCAAGTTTAGGTTTACCAATAAAATGACAGTAACATATAGCATTAAAATTATTATTTTTGTATTTTTTAAATGTGGATTGTGTTTTAATTTATATTGACAATTAAATTGTGGAGATATTATTAATTATACTGGAGATTTGTCATTTCAATAAACTTGACCGTTGACTAATCGAAAGTATTTTATTTTCTTTAATCAGGTCGTACATTTGATACCTGAGGTGGAATTGTGTAAAGCAATCGTTATCATTTGACAGTTATTCTGTCAAACGCTTTATTTAACTGACTTTGTCCGTGCTTTATACGTTATGAACTGTCAAATGATTTCAAATCATTTTTTGCAAGCTACTTAAAAAGCCCTTTATTTTGATGATACCCCATTCGATAGGTTTTGAGAAAAAAAATATTTTTTTAAGAGTTTAACTATGGCGCCTATTTAATCCGCCATTTTGATTTTTTCCAATTTTAATATAGCCAGTGTCACTCTCACGATCTAGACGAATCTAACGACACCTCTCACGCTAAATTCGGTCAAGCCGTTTAGGCTGTAGGCCGTGCCAAAGAAATATACATACATACATATAATACATACACTCGAAAAACATAACCCTCCTTCTGGCGCAGTCGGGTAAAAACTACCAGACTAATTGTTATTATCGCATATTAATAATTCGTTACCTTGATTCAAGTATAGCTTTTGTCCGCGTCTGATGTCCTTAATCTATAAAATTGAAAAGTTTCATCAACATTCATCTTGAAATGTTTGCGTAAAGAAGCAACAAACTTATCCTCACAAAGACTTCATATTTTATAGATTCCCCAAACTACCGTTGATCGTTTTGCAAGCGCCAGAAAATCACCATAGCGAACAAAACCGGCGTTAAATCGATACATAGCTCGGGGTCGAAAAACACGAATTCATTTTTGATGAGTCGAGCACGATCTGATATTCATGCGGGCCACGATTGAAGAATAATTCTCTCGGGTACTGCGACCTGGGAGCTGAGGCACAAAATATGTAGTAACAGAAGACAATAACAAGAAGAAGATGGTTCAAACTTGGAGTGCAAGTGTTGTAGGGTTTCCCAGTCGATATTTAGCGCATGATGTCGTGCTTTGCGTGCCCAAACAACTGCACGCAGGAAGATTTAATGAATGCTACTGAAGAGTGATGTCGACAACAAACCTACACAGTGTCAGCCCAAAACTCCTCCACAAGAGTTACGTTGTCAGTTCATTAAGTCTTGCACGACATCATGAGTGTTTCGTCGACTGGGGAACAAAACCATACTTGCACTCCAAGTTTGAGTCATCCAAGAATCCCCACTTGAACATATTGTCCATTACGGCCGAGTTGCGTCCGAAGTCTATTTAAAGACTTCCAGGTAAGCAAGGGGAGCTCATTCATTAATTTTGCTTTATGCACATAGACGCGTCTTAAGCGGGTGGCATTCGCGCTTGCACTGGTTTAAACTGGTTTGCGATTTTTGGCGATGAACGTTGATGATGGCGTCTGAGCGTTGTCTATGTATGTATGCTCGTGCGCACTTTGTATGTAGATTGTCTTCTGCTCCTATGTATTTTGTGGCTGAGTACTGACTGGCAGACCCTCCTTGTGAGGGTAACTTAATTTGCTGTCTATCAGCCGGCTTTAGGTGAAGTTCCAGAGGTCGCGGGTTCGATCCCTGCACAATATTTGGGTGCATGTTACTTCTGTTTGTCTTTTTCTGAGCATTTCCTATGAATAAGTAAAACCCGTAAAGGAATGACACTGAAGCGCTGGTAGAGCCCAAAAGATAAGGAGACATGTAAAGTGCCCCATAAGGGCTACCTTTTCTTTTTTTTATTATTTTCTATTGACGTTCATAAGTGCCACTTGTGGTCTAAACTGAATAAACATTTTTGATTTTGATTTTGACTAATGTTTATAGGTGCAAACTATACATATAGAACAAGAAGGAACATATTATTTTACTAGCTTTCCGCCCGCGGCTTCGTCCGCGCGTAATTGTGTCTGTCACAGAAAAACTTTATCGCGCGCGTCCCTGTTTCAAAAACCGGGATAAAAACTATCCTATGTCCTTTCACGGGACTCAAACTATCTCTATGCCAAATTTCATCAAAATCGGTTTAGCGGTTTAGGCGTGAAAGCAAGACAGACAGACAGAGTTACTTGAGACAGAGAGATTTTTAACTGGCTATATCATTAGAAAAATAAAACGTGTACTTACCTACCACATAAGTACATGGTCGGTCATACGAGTAGACTGGAGAATTTGTACATTTCAATATTCAGTTTAAACTACATAATTGAATGATCAAACGAACTTACCAAGTGAAGTTCGATCTAAATTATCCTGTTTTCGCCGAAGAGATTTATTTTACCATGTAGTACCCCTNTTGCTACTACCTCGTTCACACCGTCTCACTTCCTTGATTATCCAGGAGTACCACGTTCGCTTCATGCACCCCGGTGCGCAAACTCTCCAAAATCTCCTTGCACAGCATNGCTTCAAGGTGATTGTGCCGTATTTCAAAGATATTTTATGTTTTTGCTTTATTTGTCTGATTTTAAGTTTTAAAAACATTAAAAACATGTTTATGTAACACATATGCAATAGTATTCATGAATAATACAATAAAATAATACTATGGCTTTAATACAAAATTGATATTTATCAAAGTTGATATATATCGGATATATATCATAAATATCCGATATTTTGATATTTATAATAAATATCGGATATTTTCGAACCCTGTTTATAAGTAGTATTGAATAATGATGGGACAACTTTGCAAAAAACCTTCGTTTATGCTCAGAATGCCAACTTCTCAAAATGCCAACCGCTCGCAAAATGACAACTTCGCAGAATGCCAACTTCTCGAAATGCCAACTTCGCGAAATGCCAACTTCTCAAAATGACAACTTCTCGAAATGACAACTTCTCATAATGACAACTTACAATTATAATTAATGCAGGAGCAGTGAATGCTACCACAAATAATAAAAATAATTAAAAAGTCCATATATTTACATTATCTCAATATCTTTATTTGTTACTATACAATCAATCAAAAGGTTTTTGTTTATCTGATTTTGACAATGATTGTAACAATTATATAGGTGTATGTCATTCAATAGACATTTGAGATGAGATATTGATGCGATACGACCCTAGTGTATTGATTGATTAAATAGTAACAAATAAAGATATTGAGATATTGTAAATATATGGACTTTTTAATTATTTTTATTATTTGTGGTAGCATTCACAGCTCCTGCATTCATTATAATTGTAAGTTGTCATTATGAGAAGTTGGCATTTCGCGAAGTTGGCATTCTGCGAAGTTGTCATTTTGCGAGCGGTTGGCATTTTGAGAAGTTGGCATTCTGAGCATAAACGAAAACCTTAAGCCAGGAAGGTTCCATAATTAGTGTCCTTCTTCTGCCCGATAGGGATTGGACATACTGTCCAAAATTATTTGAATGTTCCTTATGTATGTACAGACAATGGCATGTCAACATAACCACTATGGGTTCTTGTGCAGTTGTAATAGGGGCGAGTTTGCAACAAAAATGGGTAACCTGATGTGCTGTTGTGTGTACAATGCATATAGCAATAAAGAATTTAAATTTAATATCATTCTTATCAATAGAGCGTAAATAAATAAGAAATTATCTTCATTTGACATGAACACAACAATACCTACAAAGTAATTTAAAATTTGTTTGAGACAAACAATACTGCAATCAATTAGGTACCTACTTGCCATCAGAAACTTGTAACATAATGATGTCTGTACTGTATGCATTACTTCATCTCTAATGCATAGTTTCAAAACAAATTACCTAATGTTTTTATACATTAACATTTGTACATACCTACCTACATGACTCACTGAATAAATTGTATTAGACATAAAATGGCAGCATTACTGCCTTAATTAAGTGGCACTGCTAATGGTAGTTAAATTAATATTTGATCAGATTTTGTAGCATTTGCCATGACTGTGTTTTCACTTAATAGTGTCATGCATATTTTGTTTGATGGATAGCATATTGATTTTATATCCATTGTGTCGTACTCACAGAACAAAGCTTTGCTTTGTTTGGGATCCACTGCTTGACCGCCAATTGAAACCCAACCAGTAAAGGTCAAGTTTTTCCTGGGGGATAGTTAAACTGTCATTGCACCCGCAACAAAATGGCTGGACTCAATAGAGACTAAAGTCCGGTCGCCGAGTAGTGAGTGTGCGAGCGCAACAGCAATGAGGGCTATCGTTTTTATACTTAACAGTTGGCACCCCTGGCGATTGACAGGACCTTACTCTACAGTGGCGCCATCTTGATGAGTGCAATTGCGATAGTCCTCCTACCACTTTAGCGCTCTCCAGTTGGTGCCACTGTCTTCGCTACTAGCAAGTGACAGGACCTTACTCTACAGTGGCGCTAACTGGTGAGCGCTAAAACGATAGCCCTCATTAATTACACGCGAGCGATAAGGATGTCTTGGAGTCATTGGATGAAATTCTATCTGCTCGGCGATCGGACTTTAGATGAGTTGATGATGATAATATAAATTTTATAGGCCGCCATCAACCGAGTGATGCCACAGGACGGCAGCAGCTCGTCGGCGCGCAACAACGACACGCACGACGTCGAGATGATCGACGACGATATATCTGTGATAACTCCAAAAACTCACCCACCTGGTAAGTCCATTATACCACAAACTTTGTATCACGACATTAGAACAGGGCAGATTAGTCCGTATTGCGTGGACTTAAGGTGCAGATTTGATTGAGGTGATCGTCGTTTCAGCCGAATGATTTCCACTGCTGAATAAGGGCTCCCCAAGGGTTTTCATAAAGACCGGTCCTGCGCCGCCCGCATCCAGGCACCTCCGGGCAAATTTTAAAGAGACGGATCATACATAATACTTGCTGTTTCTAAAATAAATGGTATGGATGTGTGCTTTTCTTTTCTGCTCTTCTTCTTCTTGGGAGAAAAGACATTGACTTTTATATGATAGTACAGCTACAGCACTTCAACGTAAATACTGTGGTATCTTACGTAGTTGCGATAAGGGCGACTTTGCAACGAAAATGTATAGTCTCATGTGCTGTCGTCTGTACTTGACAATATTTATTTATTTTATTTATTTACTAGCTTTCCGCCCGCGGCTTCGCCCGCGTGGAATTTTGTCTGTCACAGAAAAACAATATCGCGCGCATATTTGCTCACCGTTTAGACCTACCCTGGACTACCAAAATCAGCTCAATCGGCCCAGCCGTTCTCGAGTTTTATTCAGACTAACGAACATCAATTCATTTTTATTTATATAGATTTATTATGTTCTACCATAAGGCATATTTCTACTTACATATATGTATATCTAATACACATTGTTATTGTCTGTTTAGATCGGGAAGACAGCAATCAAGCGTCGACCTCATCGCCTAGAAATAGTTCCACTGATTTGCTAGAGTTCCAAGTTCACTTTAATAATAAGTTGCACGATGTCAAAATGTCCCCTGTGGCCACAGTTGGTAAGTATTACCATATTTTTATTTATTATGTTAATGCAGATAAATGAATGTATTCAAGAGATTAGAATCTTTTGTTACATAGCATGCAGAATTACAGGAAAATAAAAAAAACTCACAGGAATTACTATTTAGCTATTTAGAAATCTTATCTCATAACATAATCTAAACATAATAGAAGCATGACAATAGAAAATGATCAATTCAATTTGGAGTACCGACAGCTACAATAGAAATGTGTGGCACAAAGTTACATTTCTGCTTAGCTATTAATGTTGACCTACTTTATTGTCATGATAGGTATTTACCTCATTACCAATTCACTTCACCATCAACCTGCATTGAAATCTATTTTTAACTGTATAAGTCAACATAATTTCAAAGCTGTGACTTGAGACATCCATGTATCTTTCTGGCACTCATGAATATATTGAATTGCATCACTGACAAAAGTATACCAAATAACAAGAAATTTACAAAAATGACGCACGATTTATTTGTAGTGACGGTGCATTTTTGGTGAAGACTTCAACTTTGTTGTTTTCATGTTTTATAAATTGATGAGAATTACTGGACGAAGATATAAGTCTATTAATTTTAACGGCAATGTTATTCATATACAACCAGTACCTAGAAAATATTTCCAGTGCATACAAATCAAGATAGCGTGGATGGCGGTATCCTTCCGTTTGGCCAAATTACTTTTCGCCAAATTTCACTTCGCAAACAACTTATCGCCAAAGTTTCATTTCGCAAATGAACTTTTAGCAACTGTACTTTTCGCAACTAATTCATTTGGTCAAATTATCATTTGGCCAATTTTTACTTGGCAAATTTTTATATAGCAAATGTTTTATTTTGCCAAATATTATATCCCAAACAATTTTTTTGGTCAAATTCACTTCACGTTACCCACAAATCAAAGCATAGGCATATGATCATGGTTTTCACAAGAATTTTATGTAAAACAAAGAGATTGCAGAAAACAGTACGGTTGCAGAAAGTAGGTATTGCAGAAAATAGTAGGTTAGGTTAGGTTAGAACAGTGACCCTTAACGCGCGAAGGCGAGCGAAGCGTGCCGCGGCAGCGGCCGCCGAGCGCTACAATCACCTTTATTGTTAATGAATCATTTGGAAATTTCGATAAAAAGAATGAAATATGAAAATCAATTAAGAAAAAAAATTATATTAACTACCCACTAAACAAAATAATAACCACAAGCTTATTTGTAATCCATTCTATGCACCAATCGAATTATTTTGTAAATTGTTTATCGTGAAATATTTTTGCCATATGAAATATTTGGCAAAACATACTTTGCCAAACAATAATTTGGTAAACAATAATATGCCAAAAACGACATTTGCGAATTAAAAATTTGCAATAAGTTGTTTTGCCAAATGAAAATTTGCCAAATGAAAATTTGGGAAACGTTGTTTGCGATGTGATAATTTGGGAAACGTTTTTTGGCCAAACATTAGTAATCCGTGGATGGCACTTAACTCTCCAGACACTGCACCAATTTTCCTCTAAAAAGTATAGAGAAAATTATGAAATAAGATTTTGAGCTAAAAAAACGATTCAAAGAAATATTGATCACCATCCTGTTATGTTGCACATTCTTCATTCTACATCCATTTAATACAACATGTATTTTTTTAGGTGATTTAAAAAAGCGTATAGAGTCAGTATGCGGCGTGCCCGTGTGCCGACAACAGATCTCAGGGCTGGGCGGGTCTAAGGCCACGACGGGCGCACTGCTGGGCAACCTGGGGCTGCCTCGCAACGCCGTGCTGCGGCTCAAGGCCGCCGACCAGATCATGGCTGACGACGAGTGAGTGAACTACTGTTATTGTAAGATAGTCTGGGCTGGGCGGCTCCCAGGCAGACGGGCGCACTGCTGGGTAACCTGGGGCTGCCTCGCAACGCCGTGCTGCGGCTCAAGGCCGCCGACCAGATCATGGCTGACGACGAGTGAATTATTATCACCTCTTCTACTTCTTAACCTTAACTTTAACCGTCACTATATCCGGTGTTTTGTATGGAGTGTAACAGACCTGAAGTTTATTATAGTTAAAGTAAGATGGTGCAATCCAGGGTTAGTCGATACACATTTGACAGAGTGATCGTAGTGGACTCATCTGGTGAGGCTTCACAGTCAGTCGCCATCCATACCACCCGTTATCACTCTGGGCCTTTTGAATGAGGGCTATCGTTTTTATACTTAACAGTTGGCACCACTGGTGATTGACATGACCTTGGCGCCATCCTGCCGGGCTAGGATGCGCGCCGTGATAAAATCTTATCGATGATTTAGACGACTTTATTGGCTTATCGCGTAAAATCGATAAAATGGCGTGATAAACGCTTATCGTGGTGTGCATCCTAGGCCTACTGGTGAGTGCAAATGCGATAGTCCTCCCACCGCTTCAGCGCTCACCAGTTAGCGCCGCTGTCTTCGCAAGTGACAGAAACCTTACAGAGCATCCTCCTAGCCATATTTAGCTTAGTACGAGGGGCCACAGGACAAGGAGGCGGGCCGCTACCATCTGGGTGACATGGAAAGCATTGGGGGAGGCCTATGTTCAGCAGTGGATTCCTATGTTAGAGATGATGAAGAGGGGCTAACTAGAATATTACTAACTAGCGGCCGCCCGCGACTTCGTACGCGTGGATCCCGTTTTACCCCCTTAGGGGTGGAGTTTCGTAAAATCCTTTCTTAGCGGATGCCTACGTCATAACATCTAGCTGCCTGCCAAATTTCAGCCCGATCCGTCCAGTGGTTTGGGCTGTGCGTTGATAGATCACTATCGGCCGAATACTGAAACGCCATTTAAATATTTGACGGCTTCTCAAATAGTTAAGCAGCTCCTAAACTTACATTTCGCATACTCAAAACAATATCTGAGCAGTTCTCAATTTTTAAGCACCTCTCAAATTAAGTTGCACTCAAACGCCACTTAAATGAATTTTCGCATACTGAAACGCTATTCAACGCTAAGCATTACTCAAACAACTGTCAAATCGTCTTAAGCAGCTGTTAAATTTGAGAGTGCTTGCGCGGTATCTTAAATCCTATTCTTATACCTAAATCGACCTAAATAGTGGTAAATAATGTGTGTAATCGTTATCATTTCTTTCGAGGCTCGAGGAAATACCTAGATCTAATCGCAGGAACGCAATAATGCTGAACGCTATTGAAAAATATTATTATAATGACATGCAATTCCGAGCGAGGTTCCGCGTCTCTAAAGAAACGGTGTTGTTTCTGGATTCATAATTTGGAAGCTCTTTGAAACCCCTCACCAAATGCCATACAACCAGTGGACCAAATACTTATTATAACCCTACTGTTCTACGCAACGGGAAGTTATGAACGTGTACTAGGTGATATCTTCCACATCTAACAGCCAACTGTGCATCGTATAGTGCACGAAGTAACAACCAAAATAGCTGCTATGAAATCGCTTTACATAAACATGCCTATTTCTGAGGATTAAGGGGACATCGCATAGCAGCATTTCCAAGAGTTGTTGATTTGTCAATTTGATGCTCTGTCAGTCAACAATGATAAATGTCAATTGTGGTTACGTTTCGGTCCACGATCGCCACTTAATAGATTTCAACAATAAAAAGTATCACATTTAAAATTATTTTTTTAATTAAATAAAAATGCAAGCATTATTATTTTTATATGATAAAACGAGATTTATATATAATAGAAACTAAAAATAAACTGTTCTATGTTAAGTTGATTGAGTATATTTCCATAAAAGACAATACATAACCAAACGATGCTGCGTGTAATGGATAAAAGACGTAAAGTTATCATTTGTGTAAATGAAAACATACTTTTTTTGGTAAATGTTGCCATTATGTAAACATTTGAGAGCTGCTTAGCTGATCACGGCTTCAAATCCGTTGAGTAGCGTTTGAGAATACCATTTAAAATTGAAGGATACTTAAATTTAGGAGCCCGTCAGCTGAGTGACAGATTTGAGTAGTGTTTCAGTATTCGGCCGTATGTCAGTCAGTCACCTTTAAGTTATAATTTAGATATCCTTTCAAAAAAACATTCAAGATATGCCATGATTCTCATTACCGTTGCAGGGTGGCCGAGAGACTGACAACCACATACGTGCTGCACGTGAAGCACGACGACAAGGACTACACGCTCAAGTACCCCGGCACCAAGACCGTGCAGGAGGTCAAGAACGACATCTACTCGCTCACAGACATACCCGTGCGGCATCAGGTAACTTGCACGTTCATATGTTGTAGGGGGGTGTGGAGGTTGCGTCAAGCTTCAACCACACCAACGCGTGCAGATTGTCATCGCCGGCGCGATCATAGGCCAATCAAGAACAACCTGTCATTAGTCATTGGCCTATGATCGCGCTGGCGATGGCGATCTGCACGCGTTGGTGTGGTTAAAGCATCACTTCTCCGAAAAAAAAAACGTTGATACTGCGTGGATCCGGCGTTCAACAGCTGCTCAGCCAGTTTCGCGTCGACGGTGCGGCGACGACACTTGAAAGACAAAATGGGTGGTCCCAAGTGTTATTGTAGCTTGGATTCCAATGCACCAATGTGTAGTATCTTGGCCTTACGTTTATGGCAAAAGACCGATCTCACGTGACACATTGATTTATTCAAGACTGTAACTTGGAGCCGATATAACCAATGTGTGGTAACACTAACTCGTCGACTCCCAAATTTCCACTTGACGATTGTAATTTGATCCTTACTCCACCACTATACGGCTGTGTTTCCTTCCAGTCGTGGACGGGCTGGCCGGCGGTGTCTGGGCTGGACGACACGGTGCTGGCGATGGTGGGGCTGGAGCAGCCGCAACACACGCTGGCCGTGCGCCGCGCGCCGCACAACAAGCAGAAGGAGTACAAGCGGGTAACTATACATACATAAGGGTTCAGCCAAACCAACGCGATCAGCCGGCGTGCAGCGATGGCGATCAATGCATTTAAGTCTGGTCGCCATCGTTGCACGCCGGCTGATCGCGGTGTGATCGCGTTGGTTTGGCCGAACCTTTAAATGCATTGATCGCCATCGCTGCACGCCGACTGATCGCGTGTGATCGCGTTGGTTTGACTGAACCTTAACTTAATACTGTCTAGTCGAAACACAGTATCTTGTCTTATGTAGTAGTAATAGAATGCCATTTTGCCACTTAAAATCTGTAAAAACATAAGACCATCCTGGAATAAGAATTTTAGTTCTAGACATTTTCAGCATACTTATTTAGGCTCTAACAACTCTTTATTCTTGCACTGAAATTAAAATTAGTCTGTAAAATTAGATTTTAGTAGCTTTAAAACCAATAAAATATCAATTTTTTACAAGTAGTGATGTCATATGGGGGAGGCCTTTGTCCAGCAGTGGATGTCATTTGGCTGAAAAGAAAGAAGAAGAAAGATGTCATATATTCTCTTTTTCATACACAATTTATAGAAGAGTTGCATCTTCACAGTTAATAAAAATTGTATTAATTGATTATTCGTGAATATGTTTATTGCAGATAATAGTAGAAAGCTCAGACAGCGAGAACAGCTCCGTAGAAGAGGTTGAAGCCAGCGATGGCTTCACTGGAGAGGATGACATGTTTGTTGACATTGTGCAGTCGGAACGGCTACAGCCTCTCAGTAAGTTGACAGTTTATAACAATATTTAATTCAAATGTTTTGATGTCTTTAGACAAACATAGGACTGCTAAAGTAAATACTAATTCTTAACTTTTATCGAAGATCAATTACTATTTATACTGTTTTACTAACATATTGGCAATATGGAAAGGTATTTACTTTGGTTGGTTATAACAAAAAAGAAGACAAAACAATAGGCATTGTGTAAGTTTCGGTTATGACATTGAGCGTCCCACAATGTAGATATGTTGAAAACGCAAAATTAGTTGATATACTTTCAAATACTCACTTTTTTACACAGACTACACATCAAACAGAGAATGGGCAGCAGCGCTCTCTGAAAAACATCAATCTTTTAAACTGCGATCTCCAACCCGCCTGCCAAGCGTGGAGATTATGGCAAAACCCTCCACTATAGTGGAGGAGGCTCATAGTCCAGCAGTGGACTGTAAAGGGCTGTTGATGATGACGATGACTCACTTTTTTATTTATTGACTTGTCCTGTTTTGTTCTAACTCCTTTGCATCATGATTTTTGATTACCTCTATAACTCTTATAGCTGTAATTATTGTATGATGAGCTTTCAGCAGGCAAATTAAGTTGTAATTTCAATTCCAGTGTCGGAGCACGTGGAAGACGAGGCATTAGGCTGCATCGAGTTCGCGCAGCGCTTCAAAGCGCGCTACGGGCCCAACACGCCGAACTTCTTTGAAGGCACGCTGCAGGACGCCATCAAGGAAGCCTGCCTCAAGCCCGCCAAAGATGTATATTATTGTATTTATATTACTTTTTACAAGCAAAATTTTTAAGAATTATAAATGCCAAAGTTTGTCTGGAATCTGGATGTCAACATGTTTGTTACTCTTTCACGCAAAAACTACTGAACAGATTTTGATAAAACTTTACAGTATTATTGTTTATAACCCAGAATAACATATAGGCTATAATTTATGACGATATGTGAGAAACTAGATTTCACGCGGGTGAAGCCGCGGGCAAAAGCTAGTTTTTAAACAAACGTGATGGTTGACTTGAGACACCTCGTACTATTAACCTTGAAGGGCTCAGATTGTTTTTCACCCTCGCCTCTTGGGTTAGCCCAGGGCTTCCCAATTTTTATTAACTGTGACGCCCTTGGGTTTTTTGCGACTAGTCTAGTATCAGAAAAATAAAAATACTGAAGTAGTAATTATATAAATAAATAAATAAATCTTTGGACAATTTCACACAGCGCCAGCTAGCCCCAAAGTAAGCAACTTAATGCTTGTGTTATGGGTGCTAGCTTGACGGATACACTACTTATATACATTTTTTTTTTTAAATACATACATATTATACAGTAACACCCAGACCCGTCACAGAAATTAAAATTCATCATTTCAATTTCTGCCCGGCCGGGAATCGAACCCGGGACCTCTCGGCATAGTAGTCCGTTCTAAACCACTACACCAAACGGCCGACAAATATGAATGAGGGCTATCGTTTTTATGCTTAACAGTTGGCACCATTGGCGATTGGCATGACATGACCTTAATCTACAGTGGCGACAACTGGTGAGCGCTAGAAAAAGCTCTCAATGTCTAATTACTGTTCTAGTGATAATGAATTTCCAACTCACCTTTTTCCAATTTTTCCTAATAAAAATCACTTAACCTCCATAATTCACCCACAGAGGAAGCTGCTCGGCCTGTACCTCCACCACGAACAATCAGTTCTATCCAACGTGTTCTGCGCGCAGCTACTGGGCTGCGAGGCCGTGCTGCAGACGCTCGCTACCAACTTCGTCGTCTACGGCTGGGACCTCACGCACCCCGACAACAACGTTATGTGAGCACACCTTTATAACTGTAATTATGATGCTTTTGAAAAAAATCGGGCGTGACAACCTTCAGAAGATGGCTCCTTACGATTTGATCCATAGCACAAACTTCAACTCGTAGTCGGTTTAGCACTGGTGCACTCGAAGGTTGCTTACTGATCTTGGAACTATAAAGAAATGTGAGCATACCATGTAAGAAATAACAGCCGGTTTAAGCGTTTTCAGCCCATCCCGTTTATTGTCAAGGTTCGTGTAGTACAATAAACCGACAAAAGGTAGTCAAACCATTCATCTTCTTATCGTGTCGACAACAAACCTACACAGTGTCAGCAGTAAACTCCGCTACAAGAGGGTTTTGTTCCCCAGTCGATGAAGCACCGGTTGTCATGCCCTGAGTGCCCAAGAAACTGCACTCAGCAGGATTTAATGAATGCTGCTGACAACGCCACTCTTGTAGCGGAGTTTTGGGCTGACACTGTGTCAAACCATTGATTGAAAAACTAACAATAAAAACACAGTAAACGGCTTAAGCTATAAACTAGAGAAGCGATATAAGCTTGTGTCCGTCAGTGTGACAGGACCGCAGCATTATTAAGTTTAGTAGCCCCAACAGTAGACACAATATATGCTCGCGTGACGTTTCGTGCGCGATTGCAAGTTTTATTTCACTACATATTCAATTTAAAATCGCAAGAGACGGCCGCGCTCGGCCTTGACCAACTTTTGGTTCGCCTCCTGAGATCGATCATGGCGCGGTGTGTGAGGGCACTTTACATAAGCAATCGTAATCAGGCATGTTATGGATATCCGAAACCGTAACCGATTCAAAAGTTTCGGATAGTTTCGGATGTAGGCAGTTTAAATTGTTTTTTGTATAGTATTATATGTAAAGGCATAACAGCCTGATTTACCTTTACAATGCCATCTAAAGCCTGGTCAGTGAGCACCTAGAATTTTTTTCCAATGACCCCAAGCTACCCATCCTTATCGCTCGCGCGTAATTATATTGCTGTCGCGACTGCGACGGGCGCCCGCAGTGAGTGTGCGAGCGATAAGGATGGATAGTTTGGGGTCATTGGACAAAATTCTACGTGCTCGGCGACCACACTTTACACACTACACTGTTTCCCCAGGCTGCTGAACTCCGTGTCGAACGCGCTGGGCGCGGTGGCCAGCATGACGATCCGCAGCATCCCGGTGGAGCGCCTGCCCGCGCTCGTGCTCATCATGCGCGTGCGCTCCAACACGGAGATATACTCCGTCATCAACGGTAACTACATGCTCACCTTAGGCCTCAGCCTCGAACTTAGCGGGCAGCGGGGCGGCGGCGGCGGCGGCGCGGGAGCGGCAGGATCTTATGCGTAAAATCAAATAGACCGGTTCTCGAAAACAGCGGCGCGGCAGCGGGCAACGAGCGGGCAGCGCACTCCTTCTTTTGCCCACAATAAATCGAGCGTTAGGAATAAATTTGAATCGAAATAAAATTGTCGCCGTTGTTCAGACATTTCGTTTGCGAATAAAAACAAATATCTCGACAACACAACCCCGAATACAACACTTCGCCGCTAAAGCGCAGCGCGAGCTGCCCGCTTGTTTCGAGAACGGGTCTGCGCTGCCCGCCCCGCTCCAGCGCCGCCGCCGCTCCCGCGCCGCTGCCCGCTAAGTTCGAGGCTGAGGCCTTACGGACGCGCTGGGCGCGGTGCCAGCGTGACATCCGCAGCATCCCGGTGGAGCGCCTGCCCGCGCTCGTGCTCATCATGCGCGTGCGCTCCAACACGGAGATATACTCCGTCATCAACGGTAACTAAAGCCCGGTCTCGGAGCACGTAGAATTTTGTCCAATGACCCCAAGCTACCCATCCTTATCGCTCGCGCGTAATTATGTTGCTGTTGCGCTCGCACTCATTGCGGGCGCCCGTCGCACAGCCGCGACAGCAATATTACGCGCGAGCGATAATGATGGGTAACTTGGAGTCATTGGACAAAATTCTACGTGCTCGCAGACCGGGCTTTAGCCCACTTTCAACTTTTGACACCAATAGATAACGCTACCTTCACTGTGTATCTCAGTGGCGAGTCGTATTATGAAACTCTCCTATTTTTTTTTTGTTTTGTAAAGCTAAACTAACTACGTAAGCGATGAGATGACGGAGCTTTTGGACGGGCCGATGTAATTGCTTGAATCGCATAACAACCTCTTTGACGGATCGCAAAATATAAATATCCTCTAACTTTTTCTTTGCAAAATAACTAATATCCAATTATCTTGACAGGCAACGTGGGCGTGTCAGAACTGGTAGGCGGTCTGATGGAGGCGTTGGAACGATTCGCGTCGCAGCGCGATGAAGACGCGCGAATGGAGCGCGAACGTGACGCGCGGCAGAAAGTCAAGCGCGAGCAGGACGAGGCTTACCAGCGCAGTCTTGAGGCCGACAGGTATGCTATACACTGCTTCAGTATGTAACAGGCAACGTGGGCGTGTCAGAGCTACTAGCACAAAATATAACAGAAGACAAACTCCATACTAAACGCGCTCGAGCCACGCACACATAGACAGACACCGCTCGAGCAAGACTGTCTTGGACGAATGCGAGCGCGACGCGGACGTGGCGCGACAGACAGACGTTCGCCACACGTTCCCTGTGGTTCGCTTGAGTCACGTGCCGGTCAACCGCCTGTGATATTATTTTGTTTTGCGCAATTGAAGAAAATGAGTGAACAGAAAATGTCGTATTTTAATTGTTCGGTATTTGGTTGCTTAAACTCATCATTGAATGCCGAATTTTCATTTTTTAAATTACCAGTTGATTTTGTTGATTCGGGGAGGTAAGCCAACTCAATTATTAGGAATATCGAATTGTTTAGAGAGGTTTTAGGAATTATTAGATAATAGCTTTTGCCCGCGGCTTCACCCGCGTGAAATTTAGTTTGTCACAGATCGTCATAAATTATAGCCTATATATTATTCAGGGTTATAAACAATAATACTGTAAAGTTACATCAAAATCCGTTCAGTAGTGATCGCGTGAAAGAGCAACAAACATCCAGACATCCAAACTTTCGCATTTATAATATTAGTTGGATAATAGTGTCAACCACTCAACTAAATACTACTTCCTTCTCGTGTATTTGTTTGCAAACTATTACTATAATAACGTACTAAATATAAATAAGTATACGTGGATATCTGTTATTGTCTTTCTTGCATAGTATTAAGAGTTACATTTTTCTATCATAACGAAATAAACGCAACACATGACAAGACAACCCTAGCGCGACGGCCGAGCGTGCGAGCGAGAGAGGTATGCAAAGCGAGGTACATACATGAGTTTACCTTCTGTTATATTTTGTGCTACTAGGCAGTACTGATGGAGGCGCTGGAACGATTCGCGTCGCAGCGCGATGAAGACGCGCGGCAGAAAGTCAAGCGCGAGCAGGACGAGGCCTACCAGCGCAGTCTTGAGGCCGACAGGTATGCTATACACTACTTTAGTATTAAAGCAACGTAGGCGTGTCAGAGCTACTAGGCAGTACTGATGGAGGCGCTGGAACGATTCGCGTCGCAGCGCGATGAAGACGCGCGGCAGAAAGTCAAGCGCGAGCAGGACGAGGCCTACCAGCGCAGTCTTGAGGCCGACAGGTATGCTATACACTGCTTCAGTATGTAACAGGCAACGTAGGCGTGTCAGAGCTAGTAGGCGGTCTGATGGAGGCGCTCGAACGATTCGCGTCGCAGCGCGATGAAGACGCGCGGCAGAAAGTCAAGCGCGAGCAGGACGAGGCCTACCAGCGCAGTCTTGAGGCCGACAGGTATGCTATACACTGCTTTAGTATTAAGCAACGTGGGCGTGTCAGAACTGGTAGGCGGTCTGATGGAGGCGCTGGAACGATTCGCGTCGCAGCGCGATGAAGACGCGCGAATGGAGCGCGAACGCGACGCGCGGCAGAAAGTCAAGCGCGAGCAGGACGAGGCTTACCAGCGCAGTCTTGAGGCCGACAGGTATGCTATACACTACTTTAGTATTAAAGCAACGTAGGTGTGTCAGAGCTAGTAGGCGGTCTGATGGAGGCGCTGGAACGATTCCCGTCGCAGCGCGATGAAGACGCGCGGCAGAAAGTCAAGCGCGAGCAGGACGAGGCCTACCAGCGCAGTCTTGAGGCCGACAGGTATGCTATACACTACTTTAGTATTAAAGCAACGTAGGCGTGTCAGAGCTACTAGGCAGTACTGATGGAGGCGCTGGAACGATTCGCGTCGCAGCGCGATGAAGACGCGCGGCAGAAAGTCAAGCGCGAGCAGGACGAGGCCTACCAGCGCAGTCTTGAGGCCGACAGGTATGCTATACACCAATGTTCCGCAAACTTTTTATGTTCAAGGTACATCTAGCAAAACGAAAATTTTTGGAGGTACACCACAAAATAAAAATCAGCTTTTGAATAATATTAATCAACGAAACATTGTTTATTATTAACCGTCAAACCTAAAGGTCCAAACAGGTCAAATTTCGGAAAAGAAAAACAAATATCAATTAAAAAAAAAGTAACTCACTTAGGGTCAAATGGGCGAACTTGTATTCTTAAAATGACCTTACCTATACACCCATGAAGTTTGTCAAACCTTCCGCCGAACATCCTGTATAATAGTCCTTTCTGAAAGGGAGTGATTTTGGTACTCAAATAAATATAACTTTTTTTATTGGAAAAAAAACCAAAAACCCAAATTAAAGTTCTTTTAAATACGTCATAATACATGAACCTTACACATGCTTGCTTATATTGCAGAGCAAAAGAAGAAATAAAGAAACAACAAGAACTGGAAAGACATCAGGAATTGGAACGAGCGGAATCAGAAAGACAAATGGAAGAAGCGAGGAAAGAGGTAAGATGTAGCGTTCTTCTTACATGTCTTGACGCCTAAACATCAGAATACAAAGGAAATCTGTTATTTGGAACACATTTTATCAACCTTATTCCAACTGTAACAAAGATGTTGCGAATTTTTTGGCTTCTTTAATTGCCAAGAACTATTTGACGCTGATTGTACACCCTTTCGGTTGCTGAAGTAAATATTGATTTTTTAAAGCTCCCGCGCATTAGGCTTGCGGCCAACGAAATATATGATGGCGTGGTCAGGCCGCGTAATGCGTGCATTTGCATATTATCACGAAAGAAACAGTTGGTTGCAGCGACCTGGCCGCCTAACTCGTGGAACCTAACCTAACCGTAAGGGCCTTGCCACACTGGCGGATTGCAAGCGGAGCGCACGCTGTCACGGTCGCCAAAATGCTTGCAAAATGCCGCGGTGAACGGCCACGTGGCGTACCGCGCCGTGCGCACCAAATCGCTTGTAATCCGCCAATGTGGCAAGGCCCTAACTAATTGGTCGCACGAGACCGCGATAACAATTGATTTCTATTGTGTTTCCATTCGCTGGTACTTGAATGGCTATTATGAAGCTGGATAATGAATGTTTATTGAACGCTTGTGACTTCCCAGGCGATGCGGAGCAGCGCGGAGGCGCGCGTGCCTGCGGAGCCGGCGGCGGACGCGCGCGACGTGTGCCGCATCCGCGTGCGCCTGCCGCCGCCGCACGAGCGCTGCCTCGAGCGCCGCTTCCACCCGCACGACACCGTCGCGGTGAGTCACGTGGGACCATAGACAAGCAGCGCGGAGCCGGCGGCGGACGCTACGTGTGCCATCCGCGTGCGCCTGCCGCCGCCGCACGAGCGCTGCCTCGAGCGCCGCTTCCACCCGCACGACACCGTCGCGGTGAGTCACGTGCGACCATAGACAAGCAGCGCGGAGCCGGCGGCGGACGCGCGCGACGTATAACAAAGACAAGCAGCGCGGAGGTGTCAAAAATCTGTCAAACTCCACACAAAAAGCACCGGTTATAATTTTAGTTACGGTCAAAGCTAGGTGGTGCAACTCAGCCTTAATTGCATAACAGAAACTTCCATTTTCATTGGAGACAAAAGAAAAATGTAGATCCTGGCTATACAGGAGTCGCTGTGGAGGTAAGGTGTGGTGGGATGGATCCCATAAAAAAAATACCAGAAACACATGACTCCGTAGTCCCCTACTTCCTCAAATCTCTATGGATACGCACGTACCCCGTAGACCTCTGCAGATTAGCACGTACTCTTAAGAGGACTCTACAGAGTCCCAGACATGCTCGCACTTTGCAAGCTACTTTAGACTTCCTCGCACTTCATCGGCCAAGGCCATAACAAAGTACACTATAGATTCCCTCGCATTCCACAGGCTTCGACATACTCTCACAAAATTCAAATACTAATTTACTTTCTTTTATACTTTCAGGCGTTACTAGACTTCCTTGCATCGAAAGGCTACCCACAAGAAAACTACAAAGTCATATCTAGCTGGCCTAGAAGAGACGTAAGTATATTTTTATAATAGTAGGATTATCCAAATTATTGTGGACCGACGATCTGGTAAAGGTCCCGGGAAGAACTTGGATGCGGGCAGCGCAGGACCGTTCATTATGAAAAAATTGGGGGAGGCCTTTGTCCAGCAGTGGACGTAATTTGGCTGAAACGACGATTACCCATATGGCCGAGATATACCGGCCAAATCCGGTATTCTTAAAAAAAGATTTTAGTGCTTACTGCATGGTTTCCCAAACTATGGGTCGAGTGGGTCGCGAGCGAACATTGAGTGGGCCCTGCCTGTAGAAAATCCTTTATTTTAGGTAAGGTGTGTAATAATGGTAATGGTTAAATATCCTATAGGTGGGTCCCGAGTTTGGGAACTTGTATTAGATGAGGCGTAGCTCAGACAACTTTGGGAACTACTGGCTTACTGCATCCAGAACACACCTATATTTACCGTTCTATTGTTGCAGTTAACGACGGAATCTCACAGCAGCACGTTAAAGGCCCTCAAACTGTACCCGCAAGAGACCGTGATGCTGGAGGAGCGGTGAGCCCCCCGCGCGCCCCCACCCTCCCGGAGCCCGATGGAGCCGTCGCCAGCACATCGGCCTATAACGACGCCCCGTGGATTCTGAACCTTATGTCTAAGAAGTAAGGCTCATAATGTACTGAGATTCACGTAGCAGGTTGAAGCTGTCGACTGTACCATTATCTAAACGCAATGACTCCATAGACAGACGCATGCAAAAGAACACCCACTGGTGAACATTTTATGTCAAGGTAAAGTCCGGTTGCCGAACACGTAGAATTTCGTCCAATGAATCGCTCGCGCGTAATTATATTGCTGTCGCGCTCACTGCGGCCGCCCGTCGCACAGTCGCGACAGTAATATGCGCGAGCGATAAGGATGGGTAGCTTGGGGTCATTGGACGAAATTCTATCTTCTCGGTAACCGGACTTTAGACACCACAATAACATAACTGCATATAACTAGACATAATTAAAATTAATGCTGTCAAATATTGACAGTGGATTACGACCCATATTGATTAAGCAATAAAGTTTGCGTCTGCTTGGATTGATGTTTTTATTTATACTTATGGGGCGGGGCGTTTATTCATAAGTGATATCACACTACCATTTGACAGCTGTTCACGCGGTTTGTTTTGAGTATCAACTAAAGTGGATCTCAGTGGCATGTCTTTGTAAGGTACAGTCCACAGCACTAAACCTACCACAAAATGATAAATTTTCCCAATTGATTTTAAACCTTACCATGAAAGATACAAAGTTCAACATTCAATGAGGAAATTCATTTTTAAGATAGGTCGATGTGCTATCTACTGGACATACTGCAGCTAATAATTTTCGTTCGTTGTGATGTCCCATGGCGTCTATATTGCGCGTCACGCGCCGTCGAGCTCTATTAACGTGGTCGTTATTCATAAAGTGGGCGTGGCTAAGTTAAGCGATCAGCTCTCGGAACTTTTATCATGTACCTTCAAAAAGTTTGTCTATTTAGAAATTGAAAAATGATTTGAGTTAACAACAACCAATAGAAATTGACTGTTATAATGTCGTTTTACTACAGATCTAGCGCGCATATTGATTATGTGTCAGTGTTTTGTGGTATGAGAGGGAAGGGGTGATATATGACGTGACAGAGTATGCACATCTGAAGTCTCGCTGACGTTTGACGTCACAGAAACACCCTCTTACCGCTCCCACGCCTTAGGCACTGATTGGATTAAGCGCTAATCCAACCCAAATTAAAAACTGAATGAATACTGTCATATTTGTCTACATGTTTGACATTTCCTAAATAGATAAACTTCACAAATTACTGCATTTGTATGCTTTATGACATGAGATATAATACTAGACTACGCGCGAATGTTATGGTTTTCAAATGATCCTGTTCGTTTGAGAAATAAATATTTAACGCGCAATGTCTTCATTTGAATGTTTAAGCCGAAAATAATGTGTTGTTTCTTTATTCGTGTCGTTGATAACATTGAAGTCACAGTTATTGGTTCGTAAGATTGTAGTCTGTGTTATTCAAAGTTTAATGTACTGTCAGATGTAAAAATTGCGTATTCTAGTAATAATAAAAGAAATGATATACTACTATTAAAAAGAAACAACAAACATGCTTATTTCTGATTTGTGAAGCATTCGTAATACCACGGAGGTGGCAAAGTATTTTTACGAAAAACTTTTATAACGGTACTTTGGGATTGTCACTTCGTTTTCGCGAATCCTTGAGTTGACAGTTTTATCAAAATTACTAGTTTTAAGATCTATAGATTTTTCCTCATAATACAAAATGTTTAGCCCATTTCATATTTTGAGAACAAAAAAATCAGACCCGATTCCAACTTTATTTTTATTCTAGAAGAGATATTAAGAGGAAAAATCATAGAAATAAATATCTTAAATTATCTTAAACCTAAAATATTGTGAAAGCTAATCAGATGTATAATTTTAGTAGTGTTTTAGTACAGTCATAATAAAATCAACTTTATTCAGATATCAAAAATATTGTTTTTAAGGCCAGTATCACTGCGCACGTTTCTCTAAAGTTATTCCATAAAAAAATTAAGTTAAATGTGTGCATAAAACTCGTTTGAGATTAATCAATACTACAAAAAAAACATTAATAAATATGTGCAATTCGCTGATGATGAAGATAAGTTCAAAAGTAAAGATAAAATTAAGCCAAGTTCCTAACAATTCAGCAATAGCAAAGTTGCTTCGGCATACAAATCCAGGGCGCACCAAAATAAGTTGTAATGAACAATTACTGTGGAACGTAAACAAAATTAAATACCTATAGTTCTCGCGCGATTGAATGCAGACTTTTAGGAACATTTTGCTTCTAGCGCTCCGCATTCAACTCTCGCGCGGAGTAAGACTGAAAATACACCCGACACTGCTTGTGTTGCGATTCTATAAAAATAGCATGCACTAATATACCTGTGATGAAACTAAGCCTTTTGTCAAATGAAAATTAATATCAATTAACTAGTACAGTAGTGTTACCTACACATTATACTTGACCGAAACATTGTTATTTGCATAAGATATTTACTTAACGCAAACTGGAACCAGAATAACGTAGTTAGTAGTAGTTATATGAAAAATAGATTTGCTTTTATTTATATAAACATTTAGTAAACAACATTGCCAAGTCGAGTTGTACAAGTCAGTCGCTACTAGTGGTACAGTGAGGAACATATGAACTAACTGTAATTAATGATTTTGGGGTGAGGTCTTCGCGTGTTTCTCACTGTACAAGCATATTTATATGTACGAGCTATTTGAATTGAAGTTATTGATCATTATTTTTGATCTTTGTAATTTTTCACGATCCGCAAGAGATTGTAACAATAATGCGAGGAGTTATGTACCCAATTAAATATCTGATGAAAGATATATTCATTGTTTTATTCATATTACAACACTGCACACTAGATTACATTACTACACAAGCACACACGTTTTGGTAATCGGTAAGACCTGGAGCGAGATCAAGCGTGAAGCTCAAGACCGAACGCGATGGAGGACTGTTGTGGACGCCCTCTGCCCCATCTAGGGGACATAGGACCTTAAGTCACGACACACGTGTTTTGGAACTTGAATAAGTAAGGCCCAGAACACACGGTGAAACGCAATTGCAACGAAACTGCAACTTCTAGTTACTTTTGAGTTGCATCTAAGTTTCTGCCATAGATTCCGTTGAGAGACCACACATGACGCGACCAGTTTGAAAATGGTTGAAAATGAAAGCTCAAAGTGCTCTGTCCAATACATTGCCACCATAATTTGAACCTTATTATTAGTGAATAATAAGTGTAGTGAATATTATAAGTTCGAAAAACAATGAAAATTTTAAATGTTATGCGCGCTTTAACGGGTTAACCTAATGTGTAAACGCTATGCGTTTCTTCATCTCGCATCTATGCAACACTATCTCGGCGAACAAAACCAAGATGGCCGCGACGTTTCCCGCCACTAGCGCGAGGAGAGCCGTTGAGAACTCCACAATGGAGACGGAAAACACGCTGCTATCGGGCGTATGCACGCAGGAAGGCTTCGGTTCGTCCCACACGCTCTGGAGCCGGTCCATCAGGCCTGCTTCGTAGATCTTGCGGATTCTAAAATAAAGGTTAGTGAATGTTGTAGAAATCGGGGCTTATTCCACTATTCCCCGTTAACGTTAAATTGGAACTTATAATGTTACATTACGTTCAAAATAAAATCCTAATATAACGGGGATTAATGAACTTTTTTCAAAGTTTTTAACAAAAAGTTCACTATTCCCCGTTGACGGGGATTGTCAACGGGGAATAGTGAAATAAGCCGAAATCGGGAATCGCATTTTATATTTACCTACACATGCTTTAATTTTTCTTCTTCGGGATCAATGTGTGAAGGCAGATAATTTTACATGGAGAAGGATTGATGCCTTCATAGGGTAAGCTAAGGGTCGTTTACAACCCGGTCGAGTTAACTGCGCACCTGGCAGCCGTGACGTCACATCGACGCTCTTGTACAGGCGGGACGAAGGCGGAGCAGTGCCGTAACTAGCCTTTTATGCGCCCGGTGGAGAAATATAAAAAAAATGTAACCTTTTTGAATAAAAAGTAACCTTCTACGGGGGGGGGGGGG